TAAAAAAAAAAAAAAGAAAAAAGAAAAAGAGAAAGAAAATTAAAAGCATTTTGCTGAGCAGGCATGAGATCTAATGAACAATATTAAACAAGATTTATTAAAAAAAAATACAAACAACCCTCCCACCCAACTGACTATACCTATCATGCTAGTTTAAAACATCCCTTTACCCACCCACCCTCATCTGCATTGACTGTGGGGGAAAAGGGGGGGAAGAAAGATATCTTACCACCCTAAAAACAAGAAAACCCCCTAAATGTGAAAAACTCTTCCTCTGAAGACAACTACACAAACTGCTAGAAACATAAAGAACTATTACAGAGCTGGTTATTTAAAGAAAGTAAACACTTTGCTACACACGCCAACATTCAGCCAGTGTGCTCTGAGATAGCCTTAAGAAAAAAATACTACCTGAGCTCGTAAGTTAATACAATCATTAAAAGGAGGTCTAAGACCGTGTGGATACACCCTTTTTTGCATTTAATCAAACTATCATAATTTTATTTTTGAACTATTATCAGACTTTCGATTCATAAATATTTGAAAACTATGACTCTAGGACCTTTTTATTTGTGTAAGCAGACAACATTGCAGGTGAAACATCTTAACTTAAGGATTTTCCTAAAATTTTCAGTAACAAACTTATTTTTCAACACTAAGTTGCTCTATAAGAAATTTGTACAATAGAGAAACTCCAGAGTTTTATAGTACTGTCTGTCTATATTTTATTCAAATGAGTTATACAAATAAAAAAAATTAAATAGTATGCTGGCAATTATGGCTGATTGTACATTTTTTGTTATACCTAATATTTTAGAGAATTTGATTCTTCACTTGAAGTATTTATGTGCTAAGAAAAAAGGAAAAGCCAATACTTAGAGTACTAATGTTTGTATTGAAATACTTAAAATGAAACAAAAATGAAACATTTTTGTAATGCTTTTATCTTTTTTATATGTATTCTCTACTCTCCAAAAATGATTCATTACATTAAATTTATATGTTAAAATTTAGTATGAAAAATTATTTTGTTTTTAGCAATTAATATAATAGTTTCTAGATTAATAAATCAATGATTTTTTTATTTAAGAAATTTCTATTAGAAATATGTATTCATTTTATTATCTTTAGAAATATAAACTGTAGTAGTTTGATAAAATATTACATTTTATTGTTTTGTCTTTACTCCCTTGTTT